AGGAATGCTTTCTCTGTCTTGTTCAACCTCCCGTCTTCATGTTGACATACGCTTGTATTTATGTTCTCCTGTCTTTTTGTTACAGCTGTTTCACTCCTATCCTCCAGCTGTATCAGGTATTCCTCCCATGATTCCTCCAACTGGCCCCTTTGGCTCACTACAAGGAGCATTTCAACCCAAGGTAAGAAAGGAATTATTTATATTTCTGTTACTACTCCAGTACTCTGGTGGTATGAGCCGGATTAGGTTTAGGGTTAGCATGGGGTTCAGAATCTGGAGCAATTGAGATCCGAGTTACGGCCTAATTCCACGGAGGACAATTGGCTTTTCCCAAATTTACTACAAAGAGAAGTTATTTCTCATTAGGTTCAGATATATCTACATACATTTTTTAAAAAAATAATGGCATCGTTAACTTTAGAAGCAATATATTTAGTTCTCAGATAGTACACATTAATGTAAGGTCATGTAATAATCAAGATTTTAAGAAATCATGATCATTATTGTTTACTCATTTCCATAATTATCTCACAGCTCCACCACAATGCAATACACTGATTTAGTTCTCCTCTCATTTGTGATAGCTAGGATAGATAAATGTGATGAGTTTGGGGGGTTTTTTTCTTTTGTTTTCGTGAAGTCAGTCTTGATTTGTAAGTGGGATGAAATCATATTCTGTAGTCTGTAGTCTTTGCAACTGAAGACACCTTCTTTCTTAAATTTGCCCATCCACTGTAATGACTGAATATGTAAATTGCAGTTCATTAGTGGAATTCTTCATATGTATGGTAATCAGACTGTTAACAACTCTGTTACTTAATTGTTAGTTATACTGTAGCTGATTTCTTTTTTTCTTCATTTTAATGTAGGAAGAAGCTCTATCTAAATGTAGCGTGTTGGGTTTTTTTCCCACAAAGCTGCATTTTGTTATATTAGCTGAATATTTACATTCCAATCATGGGAAAGGCTTTAATTTTTTTCAACTAGATGTTGCTTTTTCCTGATATCCGTATGGTAACAGTTCATTGTGGATGGAGTTCAGACGCTTGTACAGGGACTAACGAGATTACTGATGCTTTTGTGCGCTGACAGCCAGGTTAGCAGCTTTAGCCAGTTCCCATGCATGACTGATAAGCAGCAGAGCACAAGCTTGGTCCTCCAAATACTCCATTAGATGCCGTATCATAAGTATGTTGCTAATCAGGTTTTTGATAGTGGAAAGATTTTCCAGTGTAAACAGTCACTGTTCTCTCACGTGTTTTGGATTAAAGTAATGGGAAGTTGGTGGACAATGGAAGTTTGAAAATTGAGATGGTAATACATACATTACTAAGTGGATTATAATGGTTATCCTTTCCTCTTTAAAAAGTTTCACTTCATTGCTTAGGCAATGTTAACGATAAAGAAGTGTTGTTTTTCACTATCTGTTGCTTTTATGCATTGTGTTACTCATTAATGCTGTCTTTCCTTGTGGTATTTCTAGACTTCCAATCCTATTGATGTTGCAGCCAGACCTGGAACTGTCCCACATACCCTTCTGCAGAAAGATCCACGGGTCTGTAGAAAATGTTGTATTTTTCTCAAGTAAAGGTATTCCTCCTGAAAACCTGGAATGCTAGAGTTACCATCTTCAATATGTGCAAATTAACATCCTAAAACTAAAGCTTAGTCTGAACTGTTTAAGTCAATGAGAACTAGAGAAGTCGGATGAGAATGATTTAGATCCTGATCCTTACTTCTCTTCATCATTAGCAAAAGCAAATAGATACTACGCAATGGCAGAGTTCTTTCCTTCCTGTCAGCAGGCATCCCCACAAGCCCAGGGGTAAAGGCATAAAAGCCCGATTCAACATAAAAATGTACAAACCTCTTCAAGATTTATGTTTATACTCTGTAATTGTTTTTAATGTGGGTAATGACAGTTGTTCCCTTGGCTACTGTATCATTGATCGCACCAGTGAAATACGGATGCACTTTATTGATCGCTTGGCGCCTCTGGATTTTTGAGTTCTAGCGTATGTGAACAGCGTTTATTGTCTCAGCACTTTGTCTCTTAGCCTTTTTCTGGTCTTTGCAAATGCCCATGGGTTGTTTGCGTGTTTGAATTAATGTACATTGTTTGCAATGAGGAACATCATGCAGTCATATTTTTAGCAGAACTTTCTGACAGAAGCAATGGGAAACTCTCCTTAAAAATCCATGTTGTGGTATGGCTAAACTTTTAAGTACAGCTGAACTGTTGTCTTTGGGTTATGCCAAGTTGTGGTACTTTGGTTTGCTCTGAATTGGTGCTGTAGTGGAGCTTTATACCAGAAGGAACCACATTTTTGTCATTTCTGTTTATTCTATCTAATTGAAAAGATAACTAGAGCCTCCCATCATTAAGTCATTTAGCTTTATGCTGCCTTTCAACTTGTAGTGTAGTTTTGATTATGTCAAGATGATGTATTGTGCCATCACTGCGTCTGCAAAGTACTTTTTACACCTATAAATCTCTTTCAGTATTGCATTTCAAAAAAGAAAATCCAAAACAAATGAGAAATAGCCAAGAAATTGAGTTTATTTTCCAGCAGTTGATGAAATGTGAGCAAAAAAGGAGAATAAGAAAATAATCTGCCCCCAAAAAAACAGGCCACACAAAAAATGATAATGAGACAACTGGTTTTTTATACAGCCCCTGTTTACCAACATCTGTTGCAGTGGAAAAATATTTAAGGCAAAGCCCATTTGTGACACAGAACACATCAGGCAAGCAGTCAGTCAGTGATGGCTGTTTGAATGTACAAGTCAAGGACCCAATGCCATAGCCGTTGAATGGACAGAGTCACTGGTTTGCAGGGGCACATCTGGAACACCAGTCCAACCCGTTCCAACCCAATCTGTGGGATCAAGCCCATGAAAAACAGGCCCTGTCCAGTATCCAGTCTTCTCACAAGCCGAGCAGCTTTGAAAGATGAGAACAGAAGTTTGCCCAAAGGATAGATCCGTATTTTTCTTCAAAGTAGTTAACCAGCCATTTTTGTAGCATTAAATCAACAAATTAATGATGATGCCAGAGGACAGAGCGCTCTGCGTGAGGCTTGTTTAGTTGCTTGTCAACACTTGGGTACAACAGCCATGGGGGGAGGGAGACTGGCTCGAATACGGAGGCTAAGGACTAATTATTATCCGAAAGGGCTTCATTTGAAAGTAAAATTATAACATTTTAATTTCATCTCTTAATGAAGCAATAAAAATTTGTTAATTAGAGCAATTGTTTGAGTGACAGGCATGTAACCAAGCTGTCATTTTTTCTTCACAGTTGACAGATCCGTTCAGGCCCATGTTGAGGGTAAGAAATCTTCGTGTGATACAGTTTGTCAAGCTCATCTCAGTCCCCACCGGGTTAAAGCAGCAGACTAATTACAAAGCGATGCCATGTTTCATCTTGGGTATTTTACACTGTGTTTGCTGAGCAGCATGGTCAGTCCTTCTCTGCATGCATCTTGTGGTCACTCGAGGAAAATACACGATTTCAAAGTTGGAAGTTTTCTGTTCTTCTCATGCAGCCCTCTAGCATGAATATTAGAGGTTAAATATTGGTAATCCTTCTATCGCACTGGCTTGCAAGGTTTCCTGAGCCAAATCCTAGAAACCCACCCTGGCAGTCATCCCCTGTCACTTCACTGCAGACTGAAGGATTTTGCTTTGAGTTACCATCCCTGGAGGTATTTAAAAGACGTGTAGATGTGGCACTTAGGAACATGGTTTAGTGGTGGACTTGGCAGTGCTAGGTTAATGGTTGCACTCAATGATCTAAAGGTCTTTTCCAACCTAAATGATTCTATGATTCTATTTATGTGTGTTTTCAGTGTTACACAGTATGGTACTTCCTACCCAAGTATCTTATGGTCAAGTATAGAGAGACAATCCACTTCAAACACAAAATATTTTAGAAATAAGGATCAAAAGAGCCAGTCTTTCAGTGATCCCAAAGGGTTTTTTGGTTAATTTTTCAACGTGCTCAAGAAGGTCTGGATTTCGATTGAACCAACCAAATGAACTTAATGAATTCAAAAGGCTTGAGTTCAGGGGAGTACGTGTTATGAGTTGGGTTTTATTTTTTGTGTTTTTAATTGTTGGCTGATATTCACCTAGAAACAGAAGGCAGACCATATGCCATAGTTTGTAAAACATTTAAGTTACCAGTAGCTTGAGGAGCTTCTTGAATTCGTGTCATTCTTTTTAAATCTGCAGGAATCATTAGTTGTGTAGTTAACTACAGACCTCTAAATAACAAAACTGGAGAAAGTATATCCTGAATGAGTCCTTTTCAAACAAGATTTCCAGATGTCCTGGAAATAGAGTACAAAATCAACAAGAAAACCCAAATAGCACTCTGGTTCTTTCCTCCCTCTTCCCCCTCCATGATTTAAAAGCATGGTGATAGGAAGGATGCAGAGAGCCTTCCCAAACAGAGTGAATTGACTGACCTCCAATTTTTTCAGTATATTTATAAGCCAAAGTTTTGGACGTACAGACCAGGGATTATACGAGGGAGTCAGATTCATTTTGAAAACCAGAGTGATCTTTTAAAGTGCTTTCATTTTCATCTTTTGGTGGAAAGGCTAGTCTTAGAATAGCTGCACTTTCAGCAATGAACTCAGTGTACAGTTGTGAAGCAATCCAGCTGTGCAGAGCAGCTGCTAACTGGGAGACAGTTTCATTGATTTCAGCAACACAAGCTGCATTCTCAGCCAGGGGCATCAGAAGATTACAAGAGTGCATAAAACCCGAGCATGAGTGTATTTGGAGAGAAGAGTGACCAGCAGCATTCCTGGATATCCAGATAAACTTCTTAGCAAGGGACAAATTCTTTGCATTTCTGGTTTCCCAAGAGGATGGAGAGGGAAGGCACTGAAGGGAGACCCTTTGCTTTCAATTGTCTTGGCATGGGGAATCCCCTAGACCAAAACAGACTGGGCTAAGTGTTGGCAAGAGTTGCTAGAATTAGAATAAAGCATCACAGGTTTTTGAAAGTTACTGATTCATGTCGTATCCCTTTGTTTTTTTTCCAGAAACCTGGAAAGTGGTGCGCTATGCATGTTCACATCGCCTGGCAGATATACCATCACCAACAGAAAGTCAAGGTCAGTCTTTTGAGCATGCCTGAATTTCAGATGCATTGCACAGTGCAAACCTGTGAGAGGAATAGTTTGCCTCTTGCTGTTAGCAGTTCTGTGCCATGGCTAATGCCTTGTTAAAGTAACCATATGTAGCATTATAACATATAACCTTCTGTTTCACAGTGATGGCATATTGGAATTAAAAACCTAAAGGGTAGAATCTCAAACGAATGTCTGTGATGCCTCAGAGCAAGGACACCAGATCTTAGGTGATAACAACCAGTTTGTAGCTAGAAGGAGCTAAATGGGTGTGCCTGTGAGCCACAACGTTGCTTTTATTTATGGCTGAGGACACAAACATATCAAGATTAAATTTTTTTAAGTCTGGAGAAGCTAGGCACATGTATCCCATTACTCTTATTAATGTTCACGGACAGAAGAGGGCACAGGAAGGTTTCTTCCGTCCCTAAGATGCTTTATCCAGTGTGGCTGCACAGGCTCTCATCAGTCTCTTTTCACAACCCATCTCATAGCTGGAGGTTGGCACCTGTATGTGTCTGGGCTGCTCAGGCAGACACAGCCTCTCAGATGAAGTAATGCTATCCAGACACTGTCTCATTCCACCAAAGGTGAAGGGGTGGAAATCTTTTCTTTGTTATACATACTTTGAGACTTAAAGGGTAAGGGCCATGGGCAGTTCAGGCTCTCTTGAAACAGATGTCAGAGAGAAACAAATAATTTATTAATTATAAAGCATAGTTAGAGTGTTCCCATTCTTACTTTAACTGTATTGTCATTGCACATGGACTCTGTGAAGAAAGTTTCTTTCCCTCTATAATGTTTTCACTGTACTTGGCACTGAAAAATGCTGTGTTGCTCCTGAAGTTTTTCCGTAAGTCAGGAAAGGCTGGTGTTCTTTACTGTTCATACTTGTACTTCAGGAGACAATAGCTTGTGTTAGAAAGTAAAATTAGCAAGGAGTCCATAGCACTTTGCAGTCTGTGTATGCAACTGAAGTGTGTAAGGTAGTGCTGTAAGAATATGAAGATGTTGAACAGCTACTAAAACCTGTAGCTAATGGAGTTTAAAAATAACCCTTTAAAACAAGGTTGACAGGTTAATTTGCTGCAGTAGACATATCTCTCTTCTCTGCTTCCTTATGTTTCCCCTGCTGGTGATCTTCATTCATCTTCCCATTATCAAAAAAGACAAGATTATAGACCTAGAGAGTTATATGTCCTTTTTCTTATTTTATTGAAAAGGTATTTTCTTGAAATGAAATTATTATTCCCATGCTATCTATGTCCTTTGAATCTTCCTTGATTTGATATTCAGAGAGAGGTCATACTGGTGTATTTATAACTCATAGTAAATGCCATTTTCATGCAGCCATTTCTTTTACCTAATACTTTTCTATCTTCCATGTTAAAAAACAGGAATAAAGCCCTGAAGTACAGTAAAGGATGTTACTTGACTTTTTGAGGCTGTGCATGATGATAATTTCAAGAAGAATTGAGAAATGTATTTCACTATCTCAGTTCAGTCAAAAAATTAAGTATGGTCTACAGTCAGCAAGGCGAGTTGGTTTATGTCCCTGTGGGCTGTCAGACTCCCACACAGGAACGACGTCCTCCCCTCTGCAAGCGACCATGAAGTGTGAAATCTCTGGCTGAAGGCTCATACAGAGCAATTTCTCCTTCTAGCCCAAGGCTGTGAAGGTGCCTTTTCTTCTGCACACGCTGAAGATGCTGCCTGATTGTAGAGCAGGGAATAAAATGTATTTACTCAGAGATTTCAAGTTTGCATGCAGTGCCACCAGACTGCTTGCAAAGTATGGAAGAAATGGTAACTATCTGGCTGCTAGTAATTGCTTGCAGAGGGCAACAGCAGATGCTGAAGAAGCAGGCAAGACAAGAAACTTTAAAACAGAACCTTCCTGACCCCAGGAAAAATCGCATGCAGCTGTGGATGCTGTTTGCCTGCCTATTCCTCTGCACAGTTCAGACCCATGTAACCTGTTTGCACACCCAGGGAATTCCTCAGACGAAGCCAGGGTTGCATACCGGCTCTGGGCACAAAGCAATTTTACACTCCTCCTTAGGCTGACCAGTGCGCTACTGGCCTGAATTCAAAGGAGAATTTATGCTTCGTAATTGTCCCTCTCTCCTTTAGGAAAGGGTTTATGGCCTGATCTAACATGCCATGAAATTAGTGCAGACATTTATACTGATTTTAGTGGGCCCTGAGTTAAGGTGTTACACGTTTGCTGGACTTCAAATATATTCATAAGGATTATCATCAAGAGGGGTGCTCTCCTGAACAGCAACTGGGGATAAAATAAATCTCGTCAATTTTCTTTGGTACTATTTTAAGGTAAACCAACACATGCAAAACTCTTTTAACATATCCATGATATTCCTGTTCCTCTTCAGACGGGGGATTTTTTAATTATTTAGAAAAGCACCATTCATATGGCTGCAATTAAAGTTTCGGCCAGCTTTTGCTATTCTGAGAAATGCCTGTCAGAGGTTTATAACTTGGTTGTTAAAAAGAAGAATAAAAAGAGTTCACAGCATAAAAATCTGGCATGCAGGCTTCAACTGAGGCATTTTTATTTTCTGAACTTTTTTTAACTGTTAAAGCACTGCAGTGTTACTTCCTTAAAAGACATGACCTTAACTTGGCCATCTTTTCCATTTCAATATTCTTGCAGGCCATTATCTCAAAGCATTGATAAAGCCTTTTTTTTTTTTTTGCTTTTTTCTGTTTGTTTGGGTTTTGTTCTCATAGCTACATAGACATGTTACTAGCACTTGAAAAACAGCTACTAGGCATGCACATTAACTTGATCATAACTTTTTAATATGCATATTTATATCATTGTAATAGTCTCTACTCTGAGCTGGCACAGTATTAAATACTGATTTATAAAGCGTAACATGCTCCAGAATTACTGTTAAGATTGACTAGTTCAGTGTTACACATTTGTAAATCCTTTCAGCTGACCTGCACAATTAATCAGCAATCTGTGTTTAGGGAGTTCTGGCAGCACAGGCAATTGGGAATTTGGTTTTCCTCTTCACTCTATAAAACTATTGAAGTAGGGACCACTAAAATGGGTACATGGCACAAAGAAGAGCCCGTCCTTCATCTACTTACCCTTTACAATACAGCTACCTCAGCAAATTTACCTTAAAAAAGAAAGCCTGCTGATTATAATACCATGTAAATAAAGACAGCGACATACAGTGCGTTGAATTTGGAGTGCCAACAGTCGAAATAGGACTTCAGTTTTTTAGACTCAAATACACTTTGTCCCTAATTTGATTCATTTTAGCCCCTAGCTTGCTCAGTTCCAGTCTGAGAGGCACTGAAAGAGATAATGCATCAAGTGTTTCTTGATTGCAGCCTCACATTTGCAATTAATGGTTCTGGTGTCCATTGACTTGTCTGTGCTGTAACGGTCTGGCCCGGGATTCCGGCAGCGAGAAGAGGGTGATGCTTTCACCCAGCTTTTAACCCGCCTGCCCACCCGGGATCAGGTCCAAATTAACATTTCTTTTTGGCTTTGTTTTTATTATTTTAAGACGGAGCTATTCTTACAGCTAAACAAGTGTCTGAGGCCTCTTCAAAGGTTTTTATGTTTGTTCTTTAAGTCAGGTCTGTGCTGAAATGCTTTGCTCCAGAGGGATGGATGTGAGCGTATGTGAAAACATTGCTGAAATTTGCAGGAAATGTGCATTGGGAGCCTGAGGTTTTATCTCTCTGCCTTAGATCCCCCTTCCAGGAAAACAGCTGTGCACCTATGCTTGGGGTCCCAAAAACTAATATTCTTGTTAAAATGTCAGTTAGTGTGAATAAATTGCTATACTCGCATCATTCTGAAAGTGCCTTGTACTGCTATCTTTTAGGACAGCCTCTTCCAAATCCTGTTTTTACATTTCAGAAACAGATGCAGTCTGATCCGCACAAGCTAGACTTTGGCCTGAAACCTGAATTTCTGAGCAGGCCACCAGGCCCCAGCCTTTTTGGAGCCATTCACCACCCCCACGACCTGGCCCGGCCCTCGACCCTCTTCTCCACAGCCAGTGAGTACTGAGAAGTGAAATCTCCTTCTTGTGGCATGCACATTAGAATGCTAATCCTTGCCATGTTAAAAGGAAATTTCCCATATGCTTTGGCTTATGAACTCTCTGCCAGACATGCCAGGGGCTACTAGTCTATTTGATACATATTTTAAAATTATTCTATATGCTTTCGCGAAAGCCCAACCTGCTGAAATGCCATCCAGGTAGTAAGTAAATGGAGGAACATTTCTTCATACAGTGATGTCCGGTGCATCATGGAGATGACAGGTTGGAAATAAGCTCTGTTTCACATGCTCTTTTTTTTTCCATACTGAAACATTCCACACACACACACCCCCCCGCCCCTCATACTCGAACTGGGAAATTCTGTTGAGAAAAGCAGCTGCTATTTGCATAGGATCCTGACCTGAGAGCCCCCACCCAGTGTACAGCAATCTCTGCTTACGTGAGCTGCCAGTTAAGAAATGATAGTCTAGCCCACAGCGCAGTGGGATTCTTTCTGAGCTTTTGCTAGGAATTCACCCCTTTTGCTTTGTTTTGGCAGGTGGGGGTCATCCAGCCGGCACCCCTTTTGGCCCACCACCTCACCACAGCAACTTTCTCAACCCAGCTGCTCACTTAGGTACGTTCTCTCTGCGACTAACTAATGGCAAATACAGCTCAAAGTAACACACACTGAGACCATTGAGACCATTAAAGGTTTCCCACATGGAGACTCTTTGAGTGTCCTGCCTACTTAACCTTTACAAATTGTGCATTTTAGCCATTTAATTTTAGCCATTACCCAAGTAGCAGTTCTAAATACACACAGTAGTATCACTGACAGCATATTTTGAAATACTTCTGGAAACGGTCTGGATGTTAGAGAAGTGGAGTGACAGGGCTGATTAGGTTTCACTGTAGTCATGTTTATAATCAGTCAAAAAAAAAAGCCTTATGGTTAAGGCGTCAGTTCATAGAGGTGTTTCTTTTCCTAACTCCTACTTAGATGTCTGCTTTTCCATTGAAGTGAGTGGGAAATATATCCTTAAAATCTTGTGATCTGGCCTCAAATGTGTTTGTTAGTGAAAATTAGTGAATATGCATTTAAAAACGGAACCACCCAGGTCACCAAACATTGTTATTTCCCTTCTAACTTACTGATGTTGTAATAAGGTGGTCTGCTGCTTATGGGAGCATCCAAGATCAAGGCTCTAAATTGGCATTTTATTTTGCATAGGAAAGCATTTGGGCAGGTCACCAAATTGATACAGCAGATGCACAATGTAGGTCAGCTGCCTATAGAAAACGCTAGGTTTGGTCTTCCTTTTGTCTGGGCTGGTATTTATGAGAAGTAGTTTCATCAAAATTGTTAGACTTCTCCAAAATAAAATGGGAAGAGAATTTGCTCCATATGACTTACCTATACCCTTTATGCATTAACTACTAAAAAAACTTTTCCAATACTTTTCAGTCCATACTAGTTTTTTGTATAGTATTAGCAATAAATACCAAGAGAATTACAAAATGTTCAGGACAGCATGACATATCAGTATAATAGGATATTTTATTTATATCCTGGCTATGGTTTAGGAGACATGGCCTGAAGGTGTTTGGAGCACAGTTGCCAGAGTTAATAATAGTCTTGCTAGCCAGGGACATTTCCTGAGAAAGACCATGGAATTGAACTGGAAGGGAATAAAAGGAAATTAAAATGGAGATGTTTGCAGGTTTTAAATGAAGTAGCTACTTACGCTGAAGTACAGGCCGCAATACCATGTATATTTTAGCATCTTGTTTTTCTTTGAAGAGGAAGTTTTTCTAGTAAGACGATCCCATGCATACTGTCATTGAAAAGAATTACGGTTTTTTATGTCCCACCCCCTCACAATCACTACTGTGTTGTGGGAAGATGATGTTCAACTACTGATGGGCACAGGCCGAGCTTTCAATGTAATGTAGTCAGATAACTCGTTAATGCTTTATCACAGTTACCACTATGCCAGTGAGCTTCAGCTGTTTCTGTTGGTTTGCAGAGCCTTTCAATCGACCGGCTTCCTTCAGCGGTCTCACTGCAGTGGGTAGTAATGCCTTCGGGGGACTCGGGAACCCGACAGTTAGTGAGTAACCTCTTTGTTTATGAATTCTTGTTTGCTTTGTAATTCAGGATATTGAGTGATGGTGACTATTTGCTGTCTTTTTTACCTGTTGCTTAGACCACATACCACTAAGAGATGGGAATTTGAAAAGCGACCTTGTTCTTCTAAATAACAGCATGTTTTAGTCATCAGTAAATTATTTTCAATTAGTTACTTAATAGTTTGGGTTCAACATAGTGCTAAATGTCACCATTACATTGTTCAGTAAAAAAGGACAAGAATATAGAACCTAAGTCTAAGGAGTTTGTGAAATTTTTCATGGTGTTGTTGCATGTTCAAAAATAGTTACTGTGTGCAACATCCCTAGCTGTGGATGGGAACATTTTTTTTATTCCTTTCTCACCAGTAATCCAGGATACGTGCCTGGAAAAGATCACTAACCTGCAATTATTTGTCCAGGATCATTAACATTTCTCTAGATTTGGCCAGTCACAAAAGATCATCGTTTTAAAAATCACTCTCTTTCTCCATACTTCAAATCTGGCATGATTTCAGTCACATATTGTTTTACTTTGGTTCAGGATCAAATGCAACAAGTTCCATTATTTATAGTCTGTATAATGGTCATTTCCTGATGTCTCAAAAATATTTGGAATAAGGATCATTGTCACTTTTATCTTACTACTTCATCCCTTGTCAATTTTATCCACAGCATTTCCCTTTCCAATTAAAACAGCTGTCAGATGCCTACCCATTTTTAGGAATGAGACCCTCTAATGAATCTCTGTTAATTTCCTTTCCTTTTCCAGCTCCCAATAATATGTATTCATTTTAACTCTGAGTGCTGTAAAAGTTTTTTTGGTAAGTACCTTCACTAGAGCATACCTTTTTCTTAAACCTTTTTGTTTTCCACTTCACCATTTCAGCACCCAACTCAATGTTCGGCCACAAGGATGGCCCCAGTATGCAGAGCTTTAGCAACCCTCACGAGCCCTGGAACCGACTGCACCGAACTCCTCCTTCGTTCCCGACCCCTCCGCCCTGGCTGAAGCCAGGAGAGCTGGAGCGCAGTTCATCTGCTGCAGCTCATGACAGAGATAGAGATGTAGATAAACGAGACTCATCTGTTAGTAAAGATGACAAAGAAAGGTACGAAAGAACACTTCCAAGAATTGTCTAGTTCAAAGCTTGGGGCTCTGTTCCGCTTTTAACCCTTCCCAGCCTGGCACATTGTTAAACCAGAGCTTCAGTAGAGGGACACCTGGAGAGCTGACACCATTGCTGCCTACGACGCGAGGCACTGCAGAAGATGCACGTTTCTAACTCGGGTGTGTCCTACTGCATCTGTTTCTCTTCTCACTTGGACCGCATTTCATCAGAAGGAGCTTTGCTGGAGCAGAGTTCAGGCAGTGTCAAGTGAGAACAGAATCAGACCCACACACTCTCTTACCTTGTGGGTCACAGTGTCGTCGGTCTTTTGAAGACTTAACGTGTAGATAAGTGCCTGACAGGATGAAAAAAAGGATTATAAAGTCCATCAGACGCATATCTGCACCTTCGAATACGTAAATAACTTTGTAAATCGGATCTTGTCTGCAAAACAAATAATGCTACCTCCCTCTTCAAAAATGGACTGACCAGAGGGACCACTGATAAAGTTGTAAAATTATAACACTGTAAAATGCACGGAGTATGTCACGTTCCAATACCACAGTAAGTTTCAGTGCATGCAGTTCATGAAATGAACCTTAATTCCCCTCAAAAAAGCCGCACACACACATGCACTGCTGTTCCACACCTTCAAGCATAGTTTTTATTCAGTGTTGTTCATGGACTTGCACACCAACATGTCCAGGCTGGGAAGGGTTAATGGAAAGTAAAACCTGGTCATATTTTTTTTGTCAGGACTGTTCCCATTATACAGTTAACTCAGTAACAATTCCTCTTAACATTTAAGTACCAAATTATAAGAATTTGCCATTCAGCAAGTGTCATGCCTTCCTTGAAAAATGTAGAGAGGCTGATTTCAGCTATTTCAGTTGTGGCTTAATGGCTTTCCTGTTAAGTTTGCACATTACTTTACTACATAATGGCTATTTGTTTCTAATTTTTAACATAAAAGAATATTTAGCAGATGTGCTTTTCTGACTTCTCTGTCACTAACCCAAATATACGCATTAGTAGCCTTTTCTAAAAGAAGTTATGCTAACACATTAGATATTCTAAAAATACATTTAAGAGCTTTTCTATGTTGTTGTAAAATGCGAAGAGCAAGTCAAACTACAGATCTTTTCACCTACATTTTCCATTTGGAATATTTTCTGTTTGGTAGCATAGCTTCATTATTTTCATGTCTGGTGTTAATGCTTCAAAATAAATTGCTGTTACAAATTGGGGATTCTGTCCTGCAAAATGCTTAAGCATGTGAGTAACTTTACTGGCTTGAATGGCAAAGCATTTTAGTTACTAACGATATGGGTAGTCTTTAGAATTATGTGATTATTTTGGTTGCTGTTTTGTTGTTTTCTTATAAAGTGCTCCTGATGAAGAAAATCCCTTTCCGAAATACATTCCTTGCAAGCTGCTTTGGCATTGCCTGAACCCCATATCATAGCTCAGAACATATTTATTTTCAATAATTTGAGAGCTTAAAAGTAAGCATCATTCATATTTCATACTTCTGCACAATTATGGCTACCGGTTTAGTACAATAATGTTTTTGCCGATCTAGTGTTGCTGTGCATCCATCTGTGTGGTTTTGAAGAATTCTACTTTGCAGCGTGCTCACACTGTTACCTGTATGAGAAGGTGCTGAGAAACCCTTCCTGGAGACGTGCTCCCTACGCAGATAATGTCTGCAGTAGTTTGTGAGCCTCCCGTACCTATTCTTTTATCTTCAGTGACACCCAGCAGAGTGAGGATGTAGCCCTGTTTTCTAGTTGAGGTCCCAATCTTTGTTACCTATTTTAAGCTAATTTGCCCAAACAGGAAGAACTGGGAGTCACGCCTGGAGGTATGATTCATCTCAAAATCGTCCTGTCATCAACGGTCTCACTTTATCAGGACCTAAATAGGCTGTCTAGCCAAACGCATTCATCTAGATTTCTTCTGCTACCAGTGGAAAGGTACCTCAGAGGTACCTCCTAGCTTGGCTCTTCCCCATCTAAGATCAGTGGTAGAGTGGGGCGCAATGAATAACTAGTTGCACTTCTTGGATAAGCTGTATGGCCAGCGTACTGCAACCTCCTCCCAGCTAGACGGAGATAAGGTAAATCCCTCAAAATAGCTTAGATAATACAAAACTACAATCTGTGAACCTTTCCTAGGTGCAGAGCCAGCTGGGGAGTTACACTGCAGGGTCCTGATACAGTTCCCACTTTCTCCTGGAACATGGTTTGAAGTTGTGGAGGTTTTTTGTTTGTTTGTTTTAAGGACTCTCTTATTCCAGCCCAGCATTTAGAAAAAATTCAGTGAAGTGAAAAATAGGATTTGTTCCTTCTCAGTCGTATTTTGTTTAAAAGATGTCACTGAGCAATTCCAGTCTAATAATGAGATTTAAGTGTATGTAATCCTAGAGCATTAAAAAAGAAAACCCAAGAATCTTTTTATCAAAGATCTATATCAAAGATATAAAAGATCTTTATCAAAGATCTTTTTATCAACATAAATGAGGCAAAGTACTTGGCATAAGATACTCGGTATCTTTCGGTGTGGCATACAGCCTTAAAACATACCTTACTTAGTAATAAGTTCATTTGAGAACATTATCTTAAGTTTCTTCTCTGTGAAGACAAACGCTTAGACCTGTTCCCACATTATTAACCTAAGGAGCCTTTGACAAATCTGAAGATAAAAAATTATTCCCTCTCTGACCACTGAACTACATGTAGTTCACTTAAGTGAGCTAAGTAATCAATAGCCTCTTGAGATAATATCTTCACTGTAGTTGAACAGGATGAAATTGTTAAGGAATATGTTGGTTTGGTTGCACGTATATTTTTCTTTAGTTACAGAAAATGCCTGTTATTTTCTCTAAATTTTATGCATAATTTAAAATACATCATTTACATAGAAAATTGATTAAATATCAGCAAAAGGACTCAATGAGCTCTCCCAGTGAAATAAAACAATTAAGGGTGCCCTCTGAACTAGTCCCATGAGCAAAATAAATAAAAGACTAGGTGTTGCAGAGTCCACAAGCCAGTGCTTTCCCAGCAAAGTAAAAGAATCGAGTCTTCATGTTGAGAAGCCTTCACTGGAGTGCCTTGACTTGGTCTCAACGTGTCCAAATCTGGAAGCTGTTAAATCAAATGCCTCAGCTTTTGGTAGAAAGCAGGAGGAGGGAAATTAGAGCCAGGACACAATTTCCAGACTGTTTAGAGCACCGTCAATCAAAGCAGAACCTGATACCAAGGAGTTAATTGGTAGTCAGTGCAGACTAGGCAGTTCTAGTATCAAATGCCCCATCTTACAAATGTTTTCTAACGACCACATTCTGGACTCTGGGAGGTCTCTCAGACGTGGCCCATAAAATGACAGTTTCAACAATTCAGTCTAGACACAGCAAAAGATGCATCTGGTGAGATTATAATAATGAGAGTTTCCTTTTCAAAGATATTTTTTTCTGCAGTTGCCGCAGTTTCAACGTCCAAAAGTACTTAAAGGTAGAAATCTTATGCAGTTCAGCTCAGCAAAAAAGTAGGTAGCAGAAATTGTATTGGTGAAGGAGCAAGTGTCCACTTCAAAGTCGCCCTCCGAGTTGCCTTTCAGCCAGCCAGTATCGCTCATCTTGTCTAGAGTGAGTTTCAACCTGCTGTCCTCGTCTAAGCATGTTCAGGTTACACATTGCTAAGCAGAGACTGCAGCACCCAAAGAAAAACCATGTAAACTGGAGCTGGTTGGGACTTTAGAGGGCCTCACTGTTTATCCCTCACTTTAACAGCACATTGTCCATCACCTCGCATGGAACAGAATTTCCATACTCAGTAAACAGCACGTGTCCAACACTGAGTACCTAGAGCTGTCTTTATGGAGAGACTCCAACAGAGAGATCAATTGACATTAGTGAGAGATTAAAATCATTGGAACTGAGGAATTAGATTTACCTTGTGAATTTGATTCATTTTAAATAGGAAAGCCTTTTCACTTAGTGTTGCCTATAACAACTCCTGGTCAACACTGCTTCCAGAGAATAATTGGTACAGAATCCATTTATATAGGTAGGTTTTTGTCCACTGCCAGACCATAATTCTCTAATCTTTTGTGCAACATAAGTAGGCTTGAAAGATGGAATGAATTCACCATATTTTGAGACTTCCTGGCATTGGCAGGGAGATGTATTGGCCCTGTCCCTGCTCTGCTTGCTCTAGTCTAGAAACAGGAAAGGGTTGGCAATCCGAAGAGCAACTGACTCTAGAGAGATCCTATTTTCAGAGCTAGCCTGGCTGATGGGCATATAGGGTAGACTGATCTCTGCTGAGGAAGTCAACATATAGTCTATGAATGATGGCCGCCTCTATTAGAACACTTGCACTGAGGGTCCTTGAGCACTTAGAGAAGTGCCTACCTGTTCAGAGAGGTGGATTGTCGCCATCAGTACTGGTGTCTTGAGAGGTTTTTGTTTTCAGTTTTAAGAAGTAAATTCAATTGTGAGAAGTAAATTGAAAAGCTAGAAATTTGAAGACAATAGAGATAAGAAATTAGTAACGTACGTAGGTCTAGAAATGTTTTAAAAAGTCAATTGAACAAAATGTCATCTGTTTTCCCAAATGTATTCTTAATAGAAGCAGGTAAAATACTATTAACCATGTAATTTGGATTTAATTGCCTCAATTTTTTTGGATGAAATTAGTATGCTTTTATTTTTCTGTCTCTTCTTTGCGAACAGTTACGGCTGTTGTCTTAGAAATACGCGTACTAGAGCTAGATTCCCTTGGGAGCCTTCTATGGACTTCAGTGGTTGAAATCTCAATCTGATCAGTCACAAAGCAGCTTCGAGTATCTTCTTCTTCTGGGCTGAGATAGTAGAATAGGCCTAGTTTAGAGATGGGGTGTTCTTCTGGTGTTTTGGATGTTCAAAAGGGACAGTGCTTTTAATGGTGCACGTTACTAGCTTTCTGCAAAGCAATGAGTGTAAAGTCAGACACCCTCAAGGCTTTGTTTTATTTGCAGAGTTTCTCATGCCTTCCTTTTTACACTTCTCTTTCTTCTAGGGAGAGCATTGAGAAAAGACACTCCAGCCATCCTTCGCCAGCACCTATCCATCCAGTAAACTCCCTCGGACATAATCGCAGCTCAAATGAGCAGATCAGGAGCCATCTGAATCCCGAGGTTCGAGACAAAGAGAAACCCAAAGAACGAGAGAGGGATCACTCCGAATCTCGGAAGGAAATTAATGTTGAAGAGCACAAGGTGAAGGACAACTATATTTCGGAGAAAGAAGGCCTGAGCCATGAAAGCCGAGTGGTGGAAGAGTCTAAGCAAATGTCCAGGGTTCCTTCACCCTATGCTAGGGCCCCCGTTGTGGAGAGCACCAGGCCTAATAGTACTTCAAACCGTGAGGCTGAGAGGAAGAATGAGCCGGCGTACGATAATCCGAAGAAAAGCAATGAAGTCAAAGTGAAGGAGGAGCGAAAGGAAGACCACGATGTTCAACCTGAGGGACCTCAGACTCATAGGTCATCTGATCAGCCACCACCTATATCTACATCTAACGTCCATCCAAGTCCTTTAGTGTCTATGCCCATGACTGTAGGTGTAACTGGTATACATCACATGAACAGCATCAGTGGCCTGGACAGGACTCGCATGATGACCCCTTTTATGGGAATTAGCCCAATTCCGGGCGGAGAACGTTTCCCCTATCCTTCTTTCCACTGGGATCCAATGAGAGATCCCTTAAGAGATCCATACAGAGAGCTAGATATTCATCGGAGAGACCCCCTGGGCAGAGACTTTTTGCTAAGAAATGACCCCCTTCATCGTCTTTCTACGCCAAGATTATACGAAGCAGACAGGTCGTTCAGGGATCGGGAGCCTCACGACTACAATCACCACCACCATCACCACCACCCTCTCTCTGTTGACCCTCGACGTGAGCATGAGAGGGGCAACCACTTGGATGATAGGGAGCGGTTGCACATGCTCAGAGAGGACTATGAACATGCACGCCTGCACTCAGTTCACCCTGCCGCCTTGGATGGGCACCTGCCTCACCCAAGCCTAATCACGCCAGGACTTCCTAGCATGCACTACCCCAGAGTCAGTCCCCCAACGGGACACCAAAATGGCATCCTCAATAAAACTCCCCCCACAGCAGCTCTCAGTGCCCCTCCACCTCTTATTTCTACTCTGGGACCTCGGCCTGGGTCTCCCAGAAGGACTACTCCTCTGTCAACAGAGATGAGAGAGAGGCCTCCTTCTCATACCCTCAAGGACATTGAAGCTCGATAAGCAGAGCGAGACTAAAGAAAAACCAGAGAAAGAGGGACAGAACCTTGTAAATGAACATAATATAAAGACCTTCTTACTAGTCATTGATACAGACTGGGGATGTGACCCACTGTACAGTATGTATAGACCTGAGTGCAAAGATTTTGAAATGTTTTTTTTGTATATTATATGTTGAAATTTTCCAGATCTTTTAGCCAAGTCCATATGTTCCTCGTGTCTCCTACTCTATTTTATTTCTAGTTTAAAAATTTCAAAATTTGAACTGAAGAACAAGACATTAATCTGAGTGATTTGACTAGAAACAAACCACCACCAATGTCAACCATACAAAGCTCTTTCAGACCAGAAGTGAAGATAATTGTAGATATTTATGTAAAAAGATTGCTTCATGGGTTAATGGTTCATATATGCAAAAAGGGTAAGATGAAAGCTTTACTTTGTACAAATGTAAATAGATAAAATTAAGTAACATAATACATTAATTCTTCTTAAACTGTGCTATTTGCAAACTTAATATTGATCAACACAGTCTGCTTATGCTGTGTTACATATATTGTTATAGACAGCTAAACCCCTTCAACTATGCAATGAATTTTAAGGCTTTTCACAAAAGCCTTTATAAGTCAAAGGAGCCTTTTCAACACACAACATAATTAAAGTCATATTTTCCCTGAACAAGCTTATCTATAATAGAAACCTATTTCTCTTGCTTGTTTCGATGAAGAAACAGCCCATTAGAAGTGTAGTTTCCTGTCTGAACCTCTGCATCAAGATGCCGATGTTACTGTAGCTCATGTATTCCTTAGAACGCGTCAGGGTTAGCGATCTGTAATCACTGATACTGTAGTCATGACAGATTGGGTTTCAGTCACATTAATCTGGGTTAAACAGAGTAATAATCAAATGCTGGGTATTTTCCAGAACTTTCGTCACTTAACATGTCAAATTTATTTTTGGAAGAACATCTGCTTAGAGCCATTCATGTCTGTTTTTATTGCCAGTGTGTCACTTTTATCTGTACACACACTTCTTTTTTTTTGTTAAGTGATTTTTAGCTACATTGAAACAAATTCTACAAGAAAGCTAATACTTTTCTAAATGATGGCTATGTTTTCACTGTGGATCAGTAGTTTAATTAATGAACTCCGATGCAGATTTCATAATGCAATTTATTGTATTTCAGTTGGTAATAAAGTCTGTGAATAGTTAACAGGTCAGCCTTGTTGTTCCCTAATCACAGAAGACATGAAATAACATGAAGAACATGGTCCTTTTTAAAAATATGCATCAATCTTCTGAAATCTGTCTTTTCATAACACACTTTTTTATAATGCGTTAAGTTTCTTGTCTAAATATTTGGAGAGAATATGACTTTATCAGAGAGAATTCAATATCTTGTCTACTGGACTGTAAAATATATGTATGAAATAAAATTAGTTCCATTGGTCTTCTAGTGTATTAAAGTGCTATCTGAAGTTGTTATCCTGTTTTGGCAAAAAAAAAAAAAAAAGAAAAAAGTTAACTACAGACAGTTGTTTCTAATGATCAGAGATCTATTTTAGTAGTCAACTGAAGGTTTAGTTGTGAGCTTCAGATTTTGTGAACTCCAGATGTTGTGCAGTGGTTATTTTTTTTTTTTTTTAAGAACAAAAGGAAAAATACAAAAAATCCCCAACCCTGAAGAATATGTACACTGGAACCGTAGTGGTAGCTTTCAGTATTGTAAAGAGATTGTTATATACAAACCTTTTTGCTGTTTATCCTGTATGTAATAAAGTCCTTTCTAGATCCTATGTGAAAAGCAAAGTGAAGCGGCTCTCAATCTTCAGCATGTTTCCTCATCAGCGAAGACTTGTGTAATGTAAATTGTGCCATGTTATTAAAAAATGTGAACTAAACTGCTAGGTGCTTCTTTGTGTGGAGTACCCCATCATTGCTATGGGGAAGAAATACTTTTTCCCAAGAGTGGGGTTTTGTCCAGAGAAATAGCTATTAAAAATGTAAAGGAAATGGCAAGCTTTTATAAGCCATTTTATTAAAATTATTATAGTAATCAGGAAAAAAGGAACAAGAAGGAGACCAGATCCTTGGCTTGTCCAGATTCTTTAAAATATAGTAACACTCTACTTACATTAGCTTTTAGTTAACTGACCAACTGGTCTTTCAAGAGAGTCCCATACTTAAGTATGTGGCTGTATGCAAGCCTTTTTGTGAATTTGTGCAGTTTCACACGAGCCAATGGCTTTTTACCAGTTTTCAGCAGCTAAAGATACGGCTATTGGTTATTATGAACAATTTGTACATAAATGTGTCCAATTCCTTGCAAACTGTTTAGTTCTACATAGTACAGCTTTCATGGTGTCCTTTTTAAAAAAAAAAATAAAAAAAAAATTAGCTTCTCATGATACATGATTTCCAGCAGGGTTTTTTTGGGTTTTTTTTACAAGCTTGTTGCAAACACTTCAAACCTTTATCCAGGTTACTTTGGCAGAGGTCACTTGTGACACTGACATTTGCTTTCTTGAGCAAGACTTAGGAAATCTTTCTTCTCCCTCAATAATTGCCAGTTGCTTTGGTAAGCAATTAAATGTATGCAGCCATATATTCAATTCAAATGATTCTATGATTCTATGATTCAAGTTTGGTTTTGTTTCTGTCTTCAGCCCTGTAGCACTTCTATCTGTATTCTACTCCTTCTCCCATGTAAATCCGATGAGAGTGAAATTTCCCTGAATTTCAACCAGGTAGCTAAGAGAAAAGAATAGCCCTATGTCTTTTTTTTAAATCCAATTTTGTGTAAACTGTCCAGAATGTACAGTAGTAGCATGATGTGCGAAAAGAGCTTTTTTCTCTTTTTTCTGCAAGGAACCCATATCTTGGTCTTCTGGATGCACATCATTAAAAAACCTTCCAAGTTTCTGAAGGAAACCAGTTATAGATGGCCATAGAAGGATGAAAACTGTTGGAGCCGGCTTCCACACATACTGTGTGAGGGGCCCCATGAGAGAGGGTCTAATGAGAGCATCAACTTCCAGGCTCATCTCAGAGCATTGTAACAGGATGGCTAACAGCTTTCTCAGGGCCTTCAGGGGGAAGAAATGTGGTACCTGATTGTACAGACTATGAGCCCTGTCCTCCCAGGTGCTGAGCATGCTCCTGCTGATGGTCCTTAATTCCCAATCAATCCAATGAACCCTCACTCCCACAGTCCCAGGAAGCATTGAGCCATTTCACTCCCTTTGATTTCAATACAATTTAAGTGGGTACACACCTTTGAAGATCCAGGTGTCAGGTCTTCTTAGAAGAGTGGTGATGCTCAGAGGAATATGCCTGAAAGGTATAGTAAGAGATGAGATAAGATTTTTAATGCTTTTAAACTTTTTCAGATGTATTCATTGCTTTTCAAAAGTTTTATACACGTATAGATAATTTAATCTTTTTAGCAGGTTCTTCCATTCAAGACATTTGTCTTAAATCTATTTTTGAATCACTAGTATTTAAGAAGCGAAGTTCACTTAAAGAGCATGCCAAATACCACCTGTAGGAATGAAATGAGTCATAAGGGTATTATTCTGTAGGGTGTGAGAGATTTGGATCATAGAAAACCCTGAGCTACTACGCTTACAACACCCAGGACCTTTCCTTTATGCTTTAAAGCTCCCAACTTCCCACACTCCAACTAGTTTTCTACTTGGCAGCTTCCTATCACCAGTTGAGATGCCAACTAAAGCAGTGTATAGGAAGTGATTCTTTGAAAGCAGTTGTAACATTTGTTCCCTGATGCAATATTCATTTTATGCCATGCTTTGTCCCTTCTTTTTAAATTTTCTATATTGTCTTTGGTTTTCATTACTAAATACCTAGCTCTGAGCTGGTTTTCTGCTATTCATACCTTGGTGATACTCTCTTGCCTTTTTTGCCAGTTGTCTTCTCTTTCATGGCTTACAATAGCTAAATCTGTTATAGGCAACAATAAACACTGCAGACAGCTTTTTTGGAGAGCTATAGACGCTATATATTTTTTGTTCCTTTTTACCTTTGCCTGTATGAGCTCATGAAGATTTGTAGTCCTTGCTGGACTGGAAGATAGGCAAATGGAGGTTGGGGAGGATTTTACTGCAAGTATTTTCATTTGCTGTGGCTGTGCCTTGTTAAGTAAATATTTAGTGTGATTCTTGATAATTTGAACTCTAACTACTGCTTCACATGTGCAGGTGACCTCTGCTGAAAGCCACCTGGGGCACTGGAACAAGGTAACAGACCACTGGTTATATTCTATTGACAGAGGAACTACTTGGCTTTACTGCTTTTTCTTCTGGCAACAAAGAAGAGCGAGCTGTTGTTCAAACTGACCAAAGACTGGAATTATATAGGGTTTTGTTACTCCCACGATGACTCAGTTAAGTCTCACTTGAATAAATCAACTTGCTTCTTTGGATTCCAGCTGCCATCATGGGAGGCATACTTATCTGTAGTCTCAGAAGGCAATTTGGAGCAGGATCCCAACTTAAATGGTCTGAATTGCCTTTTGAAGGTGACTCTTCCTTAACTCCAGACGGAGACTAGCCTCTAACTTAGCTGGCTCAGAGAAGTACATGTAAATGAGTGGTGGGACTGCCTCCTCTCTTGTTGATTTTACAGTCTCATCAGATCTTCCTTCCCTCCGTTGCACTGTAAAGTACCAATCCTAGCCACTCTTTATGTGAAGCTCTTTGGGACACTCTCTCTTACTACGTGATTGCACTGTGCTTGGTGCCCTGACTGGGGCAAGTGAGCATTTCGCAGTGCTGCTATAATACAAAAACCCTTTGGTAGTATTAGAGACCAGGGTGAAAACTGAAGGCCTCAGTGAATTAGCCATGGTAACCAGTATGAAAGACTTTTGCCAACCAAGAAGAAACAAAGCTGCAGGTGAGGGCACACTCTGTTCTCCCTGTGCCCTCTCTTCGTCCAGAGGGGCTTAGCCTGCTTGTGGCCATGGACGAGGTGGAAGCTCCCAG